TACTTTAATTATTTCTATAGAGATGTTATCTAATGAATAAAATTGAAATATAAAATTCAGAATTTCGATTAATTGTAATTTAATTTTGATTTTTATGATTAAATATTTAAAGAGATTAATAGATACATATTCTGGAAACCTTTCTTTAATAAACTAACAACTTAAAAAAAATACTTATATAATAGGAAAGTTAATTAGTTTGTTATTTATATAACATGAAAGTTAAGTTAAATTTGTTAAAATATCTGCTAAATTATCAGTTCAAAAATCAATTTAAAAGGTCGAAATGTTTATTTTTATAATGTTTTGTTATAGATTTAGAAACTTCTTATTAAATTTCAATTCATATAAATTAATTTAAAACAAACCAATATTTTAATTTAACCCTGTGAGGCTTATCAGTCCTTTAGATTAAATTTGATTTGTTATTTTTTTGAATCTTGTGTGCATGTGGATATGGAATTTTTAAACTATAAAATATACATTTAGCAACGATATGTAGTATTCATTTCGAGGAAGACTGCTTTCGATGGACAAAGCCACAAGATAATATACCACCTAAGCAGATATGGCGATTGAAGGAAAATTCTGTCCCTACAAAATCGTTGAATATGGAAAAGAATGATAAAAAAAAAAATGATAATAAAAAAATAAAAGTGTAAGTATTTTCTTTATACAAAAAAATTTAGAGAAAGAAATATAATTTGATTGAATAAATTGGAAAAAAGTAAGATGAGTACTTTTCTATTTTTCAGAGCAGGTGTACCAACCTATGGACAACTTGTGCAATATGCGCGAGAAAAGCAGCATATACTTTTAGACGAAACAATTTGTATGGATATGAATATTTGTAAAGATGAGTCCATTTTGCTTCCAGATGTTGCAATAAAAAAAATCACGTACGTAACAATTTAATCTATATTTGTCTAGTATCTTATATTATCATTACATTAATATATTTGTCTTTTTTTTTTATCATCATTTCTAAAGTAGTCTATTGTTATAATTTCTTTATTATAAGATTATAACTAATTATATAAATATAGGATAACTCCAACAGATACGCCGCGTTGGGATTTACGGAGCAAAAATAAAAAAAAATAGGAGTGGAGATAATTTTCCCATTGTAACTTACATATTTTTGTTACATGCTTTTATATTATATTAGTATTGTGTTATGATTTCAATTTCTTTAACATATTAGGTGTGGAAAAAAGTTCGTTAAATGTAACGGGAAAAACGTCACGAACTTTTTCCTATATTAATGAAATTATTGTGTTATTGATTTGTCATTAAAATAAACAGCGCCATCATAAATTATAATCTACATAAAATGATTACTGTAGAGTGTGTAAAGACAGTGGTTATTTCGTGATACATAAGTGTAGGAGAATAGTAAAGCATGTTGTATAGCAAAATATAAATGTTTTGCTCTTGTATTCTTTGTTTGTTGTCTTGTATATCCTATCTGTTTGGGCTATACCGCATTTTTAGCGGGCGGGATTATACCCAGAGTATACAAAGTGCGCAGATTGGATTCAATGCACTAAATGCAATAAACGCATTACATGAAATATATATCGCATGTAATAACACTTGTAATATATGTAGGAAGATTGTAATTATTTTCTATTACTTCATATACATATTTATCATTCTTATTCCTTAATAATATCTTGTAAATATATTTTATAAGTTATTGTATCATTTTATGTCTTATTTATAAGCATTATTTTGTTAAATTTTTTCACGAGCCGTACGCAGCTCATCTCCCTCTATGAGTAGCCGCATATTCCAACTCTATGGGATATAAATCGTTATAACGTCGACAATTCAGTAGTCCTGTACTGTACATACAGAATCTCGGCCATGATCAATCAAGGAAGCTCTACTCTTTTGGAACTATCAACAAATATTACAAAAAAGAACATACTAAATACAACCGAAATTAAATCAAGTCTTATTGATAATTGAAACTCTTAGTTCTCACAAATAAAACGTAGTAACACTTGCAGCGCAGCGGAAGTTAGTGCAATAGTCAATCATTCTTTCGCTTTTATGGAAAAGCGATAAACTGACTGGCTCTCACGCCAATTTCCGCCATAGCCGGTAAGCATTGCTGCGTTCTGTGTGCAAGAGTTACAATGTTGCAATGGTTCTACTTAAAATTATTTATATTAACTGCAAATGTTTACTGCAAATAACTTCAAATGTTTACTGCAAATAACGCTTTGAATATCCTCCCAGAATTAACAGAAATTAATTTAGTGGAAGTTGAAAATGTTGTAACTGTTCAGCGAGCTGAACATTCAGTAAACGATTGCAAAAGAACGATATAAAAACGCATATGGTTAAATGTATATATGCAATTAATCATATTTATATTATCTATACACTTGTACATATATTTATAATGCTAATGCATTATCAAAAGCTTAATACACTTCTTGAGATGTATTATAAAATAAATATTTTAACACATACCATTAGATTTACAAAAAATTTAGACCTCTTTATTTTATAAAGGATTCGTTCCAAGGCGATTACATATTATTTTTTTATAAGATTAGTTATTTAAAGATTCTTTTGTAACGGGAAGTTTAACGTGTTATGGAAAAATGATATATTACAATGCCATAATCGTTCAAAATATTAAATAACTTTGCCCATTATACAAGTTTTGACAAGTTGTATATACAGATTCCTTTCTCACATTATAATCTACACTAGTATTCTGGTTCAATGAAATTGACTTATACACATTCTTATTTCTTAATACACTGTACAAAAAATACAAGCCTATTATCTAAAAAGATCTCAAGTATTTCTTATTTTATTCTTTCGAATTCCTCCGAACACTTCAAAAAATTCCAATGCCGCGTTTCATGTTTAAGAAATGTTTGGAAAGTCTAATTTCTATTTCTAATGCTGTTATAAGCAATCATCATAAATTGCCGAATATACATACATATTGAATTTATGCAGGAAAATGAAAATGAAATGATATTTCTAATTTTTTAACGCGACTAGGGAAATTACTTTTCGCTTATTCTGTACATCTGAGATTTAAATAAATTCATTTGTGTAAAGAAAAAGAATTTTTTTCGCCGATAAAAGTAGGTGACAGATAATTATATAAAAGTGCTTTATAGACGATATGTCTTGGTAAAAGATAGGTAACGTATATCATTTGTTTGGCAGTTAAAGATATGCAGTCGTTTCCAATTGAATGCGACGTGACAGAAAAGAGTTGTTGAAATCTCTGCTGTGCGCTCGACTGCTTCGTAGATTTACCATGAGGTAGCTCGAGACTAACGGATCATAAAAAAGTTAAGTATAATTATATTAGTAAAGTCTGACTTACTAAACGCAATCGAACCCGAATGGGAGATTCTGATTTTCCATTGTGTATCCTCCGGAATACAAAAAATTATTGCAGCAAAATAATCGACTCTAAAATGTGATATATCAAGTAAAAAATATGTTGGCATTATTAAAATATCAATTATAATATAACAATTTTCAACATACGCCATATGTATGTACTGACAAGGAATGAAATTCTGAGTTACACTAAAATGTAGCACTCCCATGTCCGTTAGTGTCTGTAATCGCGATAGGTATGAATCTACGTACTGCCATCATTAATGATGCATATACTTTCCATCTTGCCTTTTTGAGCGACATACTCTTGGCTATTTACAATTTTAACGGAGATTTCTATTCGCGCCGCAAGGTCGTATGTTCCCGCACTGAGCAGCACAGCATGTAATTTCATGATATTATTTCCATGCGGTTTGATATCGGAATAAATTGACGAGTGACCAGCATACTTGTAGTATGTCGAAGCTTGTGGTGAGTACAGCTGAGACTTAACATTTGGAAGATGAGTTTTGCTGCAATAAAAAATTGCATA